GATCGCTGCTCGGGACGGGCTGGGCATCGGTCAGCGGGTGGTGAGCAATTGCATTGTGCATCACTTGTTTTATATATATTCTGTATATTCTCTTACCATTATTATTATTACTATTGTTATTCTTCTCTCTTATTAAACTGTCTCTATCTCAACCCACGGGTCTTACTTTTTTTTTTTTTCTCTGATTCTCTCCCCCATCCCATGGGGGGGGGGGGGAAGTGAGCGAGCGGCTGCGTGGTGCTTAGTTGCCAGCTGGGTTATTCAGCCAATCCAGTTACCCAATTTAAAGAAAGGCCAAAATATTAAATTCTGAAAGTTTAAAGAAAAGGTAGGCTTCTAATAGCTGACCCTCAGTGAACGGCCAAAAACTTGTCCTGGTCCCTCTTTTGGTTTTGGTATTAGTGCAGCAGTTTTTGGGCAAATCTACTGTTGTTACAAGAAATGCCTCTTGTGTTAATTGCTGGGATGTTCACCCTGTTGGCCCATGAGCTATGCAGTGATTTGCAGTTTTGGCTGACGAGTCTGGCTAGGCCCTTTCCAGCCCTCTCTCTGTACGTGAAATGGCTCTTTCAGAGTCCTCTGTTTCTCAGGACAAAAGCAAACACTCTTGTCCCTGTATCCTGGACAAAAGGGGTTTGTTTGTTTGAGCTACAAGAAAACATCTTGACTGCAGGTGTCTGCCTGAAAAAAAGGGGCTGTGAAAGTGAGTGAATCAGAACTTGGTTGCTGGGTAGACAGAGGTGGTGAAAATACCACCCAGCCTGGTGTTGTGGGTTGGCAGCTGGCAACAGGCTGTCTCACACCCTCGTTCCTGGGTCTCTGGAGCAGTCAGTGTGTATGCAGGGGTATGCCAGGCTGATGGTGCGACGAGTGCTCTCAATGTGAGAGGCCTCCCAATGCTCCTCGCATGTGTTTTTCCAACTTGCTGGTTTATTTTCATGTCTGATTTAAAGTATGCTGCAGCAAAGCAGGTGTCTGTCCCCCTTACCTGGTAACTCTGTGGTAACCTGATGTAGTGTAGCTGTTGGCTGAAAAAAAACATCTAAGCTGATAGGACACCTTGAAAGAATCTGGTACAGTTGTGTGTGTGGGCATCAGCTGTTGCGTAAATTCTCATACGTATATTAAATTCATTTGTCTACTCAGCAACTACCCCACCCCTCAAACAAGTTCCCCAGTCTTCAAAAAGCACATATTATGGGCCCAGTAGAATGACTTTCAGTTTTTTTCTCAAAATAACCCCAAATTTTGTTTACTTACTTTCCTCCTTAAGACGGATGTTTTGGTAACAATGATGACCAATGTGACAGAGTAATGTTATGATTATGTTAGTATTAGCTAGAAGTTGCTCTTATTTTAAGAGCTGACCGTGTCACTGCTGGCTTTAATTATTTTGATTTGGGTCCATTTCATTCTGAAAGCAACGAAAGTAACTCTTACTCATTGCTTAATTTTTCCTCTTCCTGTGCTGTTTGCCATCATTTGCTCCTGCAGTGTCAAAGTGGTTTTACTGCCTTCCGACTGATGGAGGAATTGGAAGTTGAGGAGTATTTAGGGCCCGATTTGTCTTGTGTGTACCACTCGGGTTGTGTGGGGCTGGCAAGCCTGACGTTACATGATGGGGTGGTAAAAGGGAAGTTTTTGAATGATGTGTTATCAGGGGCTGGGAGTTGCAGTATCTGAGGAGGCGCCTGGGCTCCTGCCAGGAGCACTGGCATCACCAGGAGACAGGCTGCCAGGCATCAGCTGACCAGAGGCAACTCCAGCTCCTCTGAAGTTTATATTGGCTTCCCCAACCTCACGCTTGGGTAAGCAAAACATAACCTGACGTAGCACCCGTGGAAGGCTGCTGACCTTTTGAGAAGAGAAGTCTTGCGAAAAATCAAAATAAAACACCAAGAATATTGCTTAACCTTAGTCTGTGGAGGAGCCAGAAATTGGATGTGTTGTAAGATAAGCTGAACGCTTTGATTACCTTCTAACTTCTAGAAACTGCGGTAACCTTCCTAATCTTTCTCAAAGGTTAGGCTGAAAGTCCTCATCAGCCCCCCATGTAGCACACGTGCAATTTTGTCTTTCAGGATGAAGTCCCTGATGGAATCAGATCTGGAAGTTACAAGGTAGGTGTGCCTGCGTGCACAAAATGACGCAGCTTATAGGACCAGTTTTGTGTCACGGCAGCTGATAAAAGCTGCCTTAATCAGATGGGACTTAATCAGTCGGGACGTACTTCGTGGCTAAATTTTTACCATCTTCAAGTGTTTGGTGTGCTATAGAGCCTTTGAGGTGGCTGTCCTGAAGTCAGGTATTCCCTGCCACTAACGTAGAGCAGCTTAGGAGGTTTCTCCAAGAGCAAGTATTGTCAGGCACAAAATGCTCCGACGGCAGTGCCGGAGGCTGCTGTGAGTCCCTGCAACGATCGTCACAATTGCATAAGCTTCTGAGTGTCTGCAGACATCCTGTGGAAATACAGGGTGGGATGAATCATAAAAGTGTTTCTGATGCTTAAACTGGTTAGTGCATTAAAGGCAGGATTATAACAGCAGAAAAACCGCTTTTTAATCCTCCTCTCTCCCCACCCCTTTGCTTTTCAACCCAGTATTCGGAAGAAGCCAATAACCTTGCCGAAGAATGTGAAGAAGCCAAGAGACTTGGAGCTGTTGACGGCTCTTTGAGGTTTGACTTCTTTTTCCACAACCCTTATTTGTCTTGAAGGGAACTTGGTATCAGTGCTCTTTCTGATGATCTTTTTCCACCTTCTTTTCAGTGAGAAAACCCAGCAGGCAGTGCTCCAGTGGACACAGCACGATGACTCTTCCGACAGCTTCTGCGAAGCTGATGGTATAGGGACCTGTTTGATCTCACAAGTCTTATAATGAGATTTAAGCAAATAATACGATGCAAATGTTTCTGACAAAAGCTTTGTTGCTGGTCAGGGTCTTGCCATGTTTAGCAAGGTAGCAGTGTGGATGGAGCATGCTCAGAGTTTGCTTTGCCATCTGTGGCCTTGTGCTCTGATAGCTCCGAAGGCCAGAGAGCTTTGCCCTGCTGCAATGGGTTGATCCGTAGCAAATATTATGCACCTGCCTCTCTGGAGAGGGATGAGCTGGTCTGTCTGCTGGCAGGGCTGTTCAGTATGCGAAGGGGTGGCTGGATCAGCCTTGGAAGATGTCGTTTTCCTTCAGGAGATTTTGTCACTGACCAAGCACTCTGCTTTGCAGACATCTATTCTCCTGACGCAGAGTATGTGGATTTACTCCTGAATCCTGAACGCTATACTGGCTACAAAGGACCAGATGCCTGGAAAATTTGGAACAGTATTTATGAAGAAAACTGCTTCAAGTAGGTGCTTTGGGAGACAGGTTCTGCAAGCCTGCAGGTGCTGATTTTTGCAGAGGGGCTGCATGTGCTTTAAGTGGTCCATTAATCCCCATCCTCCTATCTTGACTGCGATGCTTGTACGGTGTGGGCTGTCAGAAGAGGGGACAAGCTGTGTGGCTGCCCTGTGAGCCCCCCTTGGCTGTTGGCTGGACCACAGCTTGCCCTGGTGCAGGCTCCTGATGGAAGCCCTGCAGTGTGGCAAGACAGCCACCTGGCAGGGTGCGCATGTCCCTTGTGTGATGTGGTCCTGGGCCCACTTAGCCATTGCAGGGACCCCTCTCCCCACTTCATGCACCAATTTGAACTCTGCTGTGGGTACCTGTGGGATGCACGGTACTGGTGGGCACTGGTTTGTAGTCCTGCCTGCTCTGATCTCCCTAGTGATTTCCTCCCGATTCATACTAGTGTGTTGTGCTGCACCAAGGCCGTGGGATAATGTCCACTAGCACCTCTGCAGACACTTGAGTTTTCCTAGCTGTTTTTTATAAAGAAAGAAGAAAAAAGAGAGCCACATCTTGCTCCACCCCTTTCCTGTCCGTACAAAGCTAAAGCATGGAAGGCATTCTTGGATCTTCTTAGCCTGTGTGACTGCAGAGAAGTAACTGCTTCTGCTGTGCTGTTTCTGCACAGCAAGGAGACAGTCACTTATTTACATATCTCATTTAAATGATTTTTTTTTTTCCCCTCTTAGGCCTCAGAACGTAAGAAGACCTTTGGCACCTGGTAGAGGTGAGTTATTTATTTATCTCACAAAGTGGTTTAGTAGTGCACTGATCCTAGCTCCAGGAATGGTAAATGCTCTCTGAGCTACCTCTCCTACTGAATGAGAAATACATTGTAACTCCTGATGAAGTGTAGAATTTTATGGCCAACGCAAGGACACCTGGAAGGATGGCTTTCTAGCATCTGTCATGGAGAAAGGAAGTCTGATCCTCCACTCCTGGAAGAAATATGAGCTTTGGAGGGACTGGGAGAAGGACCTGAGCTCTTCCTAGGTCCCTGGTTTCTGTACTTGGCAATGCTAAACCATCTGTGATGGACTGAAGTGAGAACCTGGCTGGGATCCTCTGTGGAAACCATCCAGTAAGAGAAACTCTGTCCTAGAGGCTAAGGCTAGGCAGTGTAAATGAAAGTAGGGAAGGGGTTTGGAAGCTAAGAGCTTCTTGTCCAAGCCTGCTAAGAGACCCCTGTGTCTCTTGATGTCCCATCCTGCCCAGACATGTAAAACATCATCAACCTCGCTCCCCCTCTGTTTGACCTGACCACTGCTCCAGCAGTGCCCTCTGGGGCGATCTCTTGATTTTCCCTAAACTCTGTAGGTGCTTTCTCCCTTCCCTTGACCCTGGTACAAAGGAGTGGTACTTCAGGAGCAGCACTGGTGAAGGAAATGTACAATGTCCTTTAAAACATCAGTGCTTCCCTTGACCACCTCTGTTTAGGGCAAGATCTGAAGGAAATAGCACAGGTGCATTGAAGGGAGAGGGAAGCACTGCTGTTTTACAGGTGAGGAGGCAGGAAGACATGAAAATGGAGGATCTGACCTGATACCTGTGAGAGTTGTTGCAAGCAGTTAATAAACTGGAGGAAACGGGGATGGGGTTCTTGAGTATCCTGTCGAAGGTCATACGGGAGGTCCTTAGCAGAGGCAGACATCCCTGTCTTCCAGTCTCTGCTCAGCTATGTGGTGGTTTTACTTCCTTTGCAAATATCGATCCCTCCTGCGTTGGTCAGATTATTCAGTAGCGTTGCTGATGTGGTGTGTTCACTGCTACAGTCCGAGATGATGTTTTCTGTGTTCGGAACATTTCTAAACCTCCCTGGAGAGGCTCGTTCTCTTGTCAGAGCAGATTAATGGAGCAATCTTAATGCATGTGCTTTGGAGTCTAATTTTGCTTGTGTGTAATTTTTAATCTCTCTTCTCTCTTTCCACCACTCATGCTTTTTTTTTTTTTCCATCAGGAGACGATGGAGGTGAGTTGCACTCTGTTTGTTTTTACTGATAACAGAAACAAATGTGGCGTCTTTATCACGCTGTCACAAGCCGTGCCATTAGATAGTGCACCTGGTTAGCAAAATCATTATTCAGGCAAAATCAGAAGTTGCCTTGAAATTCTGCTGTGTTCAGGACCCTGTTCCCTCTGAGCCCCCCTGTCCCCGAGGCCAGCCCATCCTTGTGTGGAGGCCTTAAAAAGCACCAGCAGTTTTTTAAGAGTGCAAGTCCCGTTTGAAGGTAGTCACTGACGTGTTGTAAGCCTTCAGGAACAAGACTTGCCTTGTGGGTTTGTTTTGTTTTGGTTGGTTTTTTTTCAGCACTCGTTATTGCTGAGAAAGCAGCTCTCCGGCTGGAGCTTTGACAAGATTCAGGGTCCCACCAGCCTCTGGCAGCTGGTAGGAGCTGGGTGCCCAACTCCCTTAGGCCCTGCAGGGAAGCCATCTGGGACGGGCTGTGCCCCGGAGCTGTTTGCCCTCTGCAGCACTGGGCCTGTGTCTATGGCATGTCCTCGTCTCCAAATTATCTCCAAATCGGTTTATGCTCTCCAGATTACTTTCAAGCCTGTAGCAGGGGTAGCGTGAAACCATGAACTTGTGTGATTGTACACACTTGATTGCACTGCGTGGGGGTTGTTTGTTTAGCTTTTTAATTAAAATACACCTCTCCCCATCCTGACCAGAAAAGAAAAGCAATCAGTGACCCTTGTTTCCCCCTATGCTGTGCTGTTCTGCAGCACATCTGCCCTTGCTGAGATGGGTGGGAAAGACCATGTGCTATGTTTAGCTGGTGCCACACTGTGTTACAGAAGCATCAGTCAGAAGGGTGAGGAGGAAAACTATTTCCATGCTCTTCCAATGCTCCCTTCCCTGCTTCTGCAAATTGGAGTGGGCAGAGGCCCTCTGTGGCCTTGCCTCGGAGGGGGCATCGGGCTTGGGCAGTACCCTCCCCCCTGCTGGTTCTGTGCCGCAGAGGGGAGGGTACTGCCCTGAATCGTTCATGTATCATCCTGTTGCGCTCTGGAATGTGTGGTCAAAGAAGTGGCCTAAAACATGACACGGTGTGTTCAAGCCCTCCTGCTGCTGTACAGCCTCTAAAACTGATGTGTTTGTTTTCCTTTTGTTTCCAGGGCATACGTTTTACAAGTGGCTGAAAGGTAATCCTTTTTCTAAACTGGGTTGCTCTTCCTGAGATGAACACGAAATGGCCAGGGAGTGGGTGGGATTACTGGTCATGCTCAGGTGGGATTAGATTTCTGCCTGACAGCCAGGAGAGGAAAATTCAACATGTGCTTTCAGGATCTGAAAGTGCCCATTTCTTTTCAGGTGTCTGTGTAGAGAAACGAGCTTTCTACAAACTCGTTTCTGGTCTCCATGCAAGCATCAACATCCATTTGAGCGCCAGGTACCTTTTACAAGGTAAATGCTACTTTCTGCCTTAGCTCTCCTGCATCAGTCCTAAATTGATGTTTCTGTGGCTCTGCTAAATGCTAGCTGGAGCCTGTTCCAGCAGGGTTCAGGCCTGCTTCTGCACTCTTCTCTTCCCTCCCCCAGCACACAGGTTGTGTTACAGAATGGGGTCTGAAAATGGCTGGGCTGTGCTCTGTACCAAGACTTCCATCGTGTATTCCTTCTATTTTTCCTTCCAAGGTTATTTTGGAGTGGGTTTCTAACTGTGTATCGAGGCTGCCCCTTCCTAGCCTGTCTTTATGACGGTCAGTTTAGCAATAATCTCACCTAGACCGTGAAATGCTTGGCTGAGCTTTCCCAAGAGCCTTGATCCATTTCCATATGCCGTTCCCTTTGCCTGCCTTTGTCCATAATTAGCTATCTGAAGAATCTAAATTTCAACCCTGGGGTTGAAAACCTAGGGCAATGTAAAAAACACGATTTGTGTGTCTCGCGTGGCCAAGAGCTGTGGCACGCCGCTCATGCAGCGTGGGATGCAGGTTCTGACTGAATTCCTTCAGGATTTAGTCATGGCAGTTCAGAGCGGTACCTGTGGACCAAGCCCATCACCTTGATCCTGCCAAAGCTTACAAAAATCAAGTATGGCTTTGGAGATGGCTGTTGGAATTTGGATAAGTAATTTAGATTTAACTTAAGTAATTATATTGAAGTCTACAGCCCACTTAGGTCTCGCCTTGATGCAAGTTGACTTTGTTAGAATTGGGAGGTAAAATAACGAGAGAAACACCAAAGGCAAGCAATGAGTTGGGACTGCAGAGAGGATTAGGTAAATAAGGTTGGATACAGGCAGCCAAGTACGTGCCTTTGCTCAGCTTGGGTAGAAGGGGATAGCTCCTGTTGGGGACGGGCTACAGGAGATGATCTCTGCTCTGAGGTGTTCCTTGGCTCAGCTTTGACCCAGGCAGGGATTCCCATCTGCAGGTGCCGTGATCGCCTTGTGGGGAGCCTGCCTTAGCTTGGAGCTGGGAAGGAGAAGGAGTCCTTTCCTGCTGGGCTGCTTATCCATCAGTGATTTAGAACATAAAATTTCTCCTTTTTTCTTTTTTTTTTTTCTTTTTATACATCAGCTTGATATGACTGTGTTACATCTTCCACTACATAATTTCTACGATCTTAAGTACACGATAGGATGAGCAAACAGAAATATTCTTTGGGAAACCTGTGGGCTTTGATAATGGAAAGTAGAGGCCAGTCTCCTCTGATCCTTGGCTGGCCCCCACGCTGCCTCCCAGTGCATCGTGGTCAGGAGGCCTGCACTGTCCGCCTCTGCAGAGGCTCAGACCTCTTCAGAGTTCTGCAGTAAATGGGTGGCTTTTGTGGGCAGGAGTGAAGGGACTTTCACAGCCTGTCTGGTACATCCACCCAGTCCCCTTCACTTGCAGACAAATGCTGAGCCATCGCCAGCTTACCCGGAACTGCTCCCGAAGCAGTCAGCTCACCTGATGAGAAACTCCTCTACTGATTTAACTCTGTTTAAAATGGGCAGCCTCCATTTTTAGCTTTCACTTGTAACACTGGGTCATGTTTTAAACCAACTGACAAAGCTCTGCAGGAGTTTGGCATTTGTTGGGATTTGAGTTTGGTTAAAAGGATGCCTCTCTTGACTCTTCAACAGTGTGCGGCTGGTGGAAAGGCTGTGACTGTTGTAAAGCATGGATCTCCCTGGTTAGAGTTTCACCATTCAGCTTGGGATGCTGGGAGGAGCTGAGCCAGAACTGCACCCATCCGCCTCATGTCTTTGGTTTTTTTTGCTCTCTCAGATACGTGGTCAGAGAAGAAATGGGGCCCCAACGTTACAGAGTTCCAGCAGAGATTTGATGAAGTCATCACCAGAGGGGAAGGTCCCAGAAGACTCAAGAACCTGTATTTTCTCTACCTGATAGAGCTGCGGGCCCTATCCAAAGTGCTGCCGTTCTTCGAGCGCCCAGCTTTCCAGCTGTACACGGGGAATAAAACTCACGACACGGAAATGAAAAAAATGTTGCTGGAAATTCTCCATCTGGCCAAGTAATTACGTTTGGTACCTGGGGAGAATGGCTCTTTCAACCCTGGTGTCTCTGAGCATGCTTACCCTTTCACTTAAAGTGCCTGGAAAGGCAGGTGCTGGGTTCTTGTAGCGGGATAGCGTGATTTGTGCAGTAGGGTGGTGTTGCTGGGAGTACGTTGGTGTCTGTATTCAAATTGCAAAACAGGATAATTAAGCCCACGGTTTAACGGTCTAGGTTGCCTTTTTGATTTGTCAGGCTTGATTTTCATAACCTCCTAGGTGTCAGCCCTGAAACTGGCCACCTCTTTGACTCCTCTGTGGAATACCAGACCTGGTTTCATGTTTTTGACTAGAAAAAATCCTAAACATGTTGGTAACAGATGTTTGGGCTGTTGGGCAGGGCTTGGAGTAAGAGGAATGGAAGACAGCAGGACCAGGTGGAAACGTGTGTCTTGTAATGCAATCGATGTTTGAATTTATCTTGTCTCACTCCCGTGCCTTCGGTGCTTACGTCTGTTAGAAAACAGACTACAATTGCTTAGAAACCGTGCTGAAAATGTCTCCAAGGTGAGATGCAAGCCAAAATTGAAAGCCTCCAGGAGATTTAAGAAACAAGCAGCTTGACTTAAAATACATCTAGAGATGTCCAATGTCTAAACACCCATCGGTTTCATTTGCGGACCGAACCAGATACTTCTGTGGATCTGGACTTCAGCCGTATGAACAAGCTGTGGAGCGATAAAACTCTTTTTATTCTATTTCAGGTCTTTCCCACTGCATTTTGATGAAAACTCATTCTTTGCGGGGAATAAAAAGGAAGCTGCTAAACTAAAGGTAATTGGCCAGCCCTTCCCTTTGGGGCACTTGCTACCTAAAGGGTATTTTCAGATGGGTATGTGGGATAATCCTGGATCTGAAAGGGACCCCAGTACGCTCAAGGTAACGGATCAGGTATTTCCAATTCATTTTGCTCTCTGAATGGTTTGGGTACTTGGGGGTAACTACTGACTGTAGGGCGTGCTTCACAGAGGGTGGTGAATTGCTGCTGAGGACCCCACTTCAGGAAGCATTTCCCTAACTCAGTCCCACTGAATTTAGCCTGAGGTCCAGAATTAATATGTTACTGGATGTAGAATCATTAAGGTTGGAAAAGACCTCTAAGAGGTCTGTCAACCCAACACCACCTACTACATGGCCCTAAGCACATCTACGTGTTTTTTTTGAACACCTCCAGGGATGGGTCTCTACCCCTTCCAGTGCCTGACAGCCCCAAGGGGAAGGAATTGTTCCCCATGCCCAACCTCACCCTGCCCTGGCACAACTTGAGGCCGGTGCCCCTCGTCCCATCGCCCCTTCCCTGGGAGCAGAGCCCGACCCCCCCGGCTCCCCCCGCAGTTGTAGGCAGCGATGAGGGCTCCCCTCAGCCTCCTCTGCTCCAGGCTGAACCCCCCCAGCTCCCCCAGCCGCTCCCCAGCAGCCTGGGGCTCCAGACCCCTCCCCAGCTCCGCTGCCCTTCTCTGGACACGCTCCAGCCCCCCCAGGTCCTTCAGGGAGGGAGGGGCCCAACCCTGACCCCAGCATTCGAGGGGCGGCCTCCCCAGTGCCCAGCACAGGGGCATTTAGATTAATACATGGAAGGAGTCCTAATTAGTGCATAGCCATGATCAACTTGAATGTTTTTCCCCTAGGAGGAATTTAGGCTGCACTTCAAGAATATTTCTAAGATAATGGACTGTGTTGGCTGCTTCAAATGTCGCCTGTGGGGGAAGTTGCAGGTAAGCTTTGTCAGCAGCTGGGGATGTGTCTGGAAGCACCTCGTCTGATGGGACTCTGGGGCGCCGATGTGGTTCTTTGGATATTGGTCAGCTCCTAGATGCAGCTCAGGGCTGGCTGCGTCGCGGCAGAGTCCAGCCCGCAGGAAGCTGTGTGCCGATGCCAGCTCGCTGGGCCTGCCAGCAGCCGCCTGTTGCCTTTGTGGCTGAAAAATGGGTGAACCTGCTACAGCCGCTCCCCGGGAGAGGGGAGGGGGTACAGAGCCTCTGGCAAGCGAGGCAGAGGGTGCTGTAAAACTGGGGGTTCGGCGAGATCTGCACTGAACTTCACACACGGTCAAACCCAGACAGAAAGCCTCTCTTTGGGTGGCTCTGCTATCGCAGCGGAGCTCAAATGAAGCGCCTGGCTCTGTTCTGAGCTGTGTGACGGGAAACCCAGGCCTTGGTCTGTTACGATGATGTCAGCAGGACACCTCACACTTTTTTTTAGGGAAGTAAAGTTAAACTTGCAAGCCAGGCCCCGGATGTCTCCCCGCTATTAAATGATCTTGTTTGTCACGCACAGACGCAGGGCTTGGGTACCGTGCTGAAGATCCTCTTTTCGGAAAACCTGATAGAAAAGATACCTGAAAGCGGCCCTTCCTATGGATTCCAGCTGACGAGACAAGAAATCGTTGCCTTATTTAATGCTTTCGGAAGGTCAGTTTGAGACTTTTTCCTCTTACTTTTACACAAGCTTAACAGCTTGAGCTTAAACAGCCAGTTCTCACCAGCAACATTGGTGTGAACTCCTGCGCTGATCATAAAGAAGCTTTCTCTTGTCAGGGGATGTTAATGTGGAGTGCGATGGTCGGAACGATTTAAAACAACTTCTCTGTACTCTACATATCCATAAGGAATCCAGGGAAGCGTTTGGTTTAAGATACAGAGAATTTGGTGCTTTTTAAGAGACTGGATGACACTGTCCTCGGAGCACGTTGTCCCCAGACAAGGGTTGCTGTTCTTGTTCTGTGCTCACTTTCGCTTCTCGCTTCCACTGCTTCGTTCCCAGATGGGTTTGTGATGGCCGCGTTTAGCAGGAACACATCAGCCCAGCTGCTGTGCAGAGCTGGGTGAGGAGGTTTTGGCAGTGAGGGGAGGGTATCGAGGCCTTCAGGAGAGAGCAGAGGTTGCAGGACGCTCCGGTTACACGTTACCACTCTGGTGACCCAGCAAACGGGTTTTTCAGAGGGGCCTCTGGGCGACGTTGCTGCCGGTGCTTAAGCGCCAGGGTCCTGCTCCGCCTCGCTTCAAACCTCCTGGTTGTACCTTCACAGTGAGCATGGCCAGCAGGGGGGAGACCCGAATGTGCATCAGTCTCCTTTGGAAAACCCCAGAATGCTCTTCCCCAGGGATGCCATGCTGCTCTCCTGAGCACAGCTGCTGCATTCCCGTAGGCCGGAGGAGCTGGGCTTCCTTTGGCCCCTCTAGCGCCGTCGGCACAGCCCTCAGAAGCAGCAGCCAGGGCGCTTGCGGACCCTCTGAACATCTGTCTGTGGGGGAAGCTGAGGTCTGGCAGGCAAAGAGCCTTTTCTTTCTTCCTTTTCCCCCCCTTTGCTGCCCAGCTAAAACTTTCATAGAATCATAGAATCATTTGGTTGGAGAAGCCCTTTAAGATCCCCAAGCCCAACAGTTCCCCTAACCCTGCCATCCCAACCCCAAACCCTGGCCCTCAGCACCGCCTCTGCCCGGATGTTAAATCCCCCCAGGCTGGGGACTTCGACCCCTTCCCTGGGCAGCCCCTTCCAGACCTTTGGGGAAGGAATTGTTCCCCATGGC